GGAACGGCTTTTCGGAAAGCATTTCAATTTATTTTCTTTTAATTGTCGACGTTTCATATACGTAAAAAATCTCAGCGTCGAACAAATTCCAATATGTAGGAGAGACCGGATGATTGGGAGTATATACGTCGACGGAGGACGTGCTCGGCTTGTACAAAACCTGAGATACCTGAACCGTTTAAACAAGAATTAGAGTAGTCGGTGGAGATGGGGGAGAACTTTCTGTTCTAGGAGTGAGGTCATTATTTCTTTATCTCTTCTTCGCCACCCTCTTCACTCCCTCCACGCAACAGCGCCGTTTTTAAAGAGCACCATTAGACTGAGTCGATAGCCCATTGAAATCCTATTAAATACATTATTGTATTTATTAGTCGTTCATAATTCAAATATCTGAAACAATTTACATTCTTATACCGCCAAGTAAATTATTGACGTTCTTCATTTTTTTCTGTCGAATTATATAAAATTCCATAAATGTTAACTTTTTAACTTGTATTTCTATGTTAGATATAAAATAATATCAGCCTTCAATAATATAATTTTGTATTAAATATCAGCCATGAGCCTAATTTAAAAAGGAAATACTCAATTCCTTCAACTATATTTGGAGGATCATATTCCTTTTATCAGGTCTTAAAAGCGATTATCAATATTTTACAAGGCTACCAGATATGAACATGTATTTACGCAGTTCAAATATAATCTTTCATATAATACTAATTACATAATTCGTTGTTATTATAATAGAGTTTTCAATAAAAAATGTAAATCAATATTTCTACAAACGAATGATCATTGATGGCGTTATATTTCTGAAAAATAATAATACATCTATTAGGTTTCATCGTCCGATTGACTAAATAAATTCTTTTCAATTAATTAATCCTTAATTAAGGTTTTGGTTGAGATAAAAAGTCAGTGTCGCGGGTGGGATTCGAAGCCACACTAAAGGGAAAATTCAAAAGGTGGGTTGAGATGGAAGTTCGTGTCCGAGTGGATCGAAGTCCTGATAGCTCAAGTGGTAGAGCAGCGGCGTATTTATCCGAAGGTCGTGGGTTCGAATCCCGCTCGTGACACTGACTTTTTTTATCTCAACCAAAACCTTAATTAAGGATTAATTAATTGAAAAGAATTTATTTAGACAATGGGACCGTGAAACCTAATAGATGTATTATTCTTTTTCAGAAGAATTATTCTTTTTCACCTTAATTAAAGATTAATTAACTAAAAAGAATAATGTTTGTTGGCGTTCAATGACAATTTTAATTCCATTATATTTCGTGGTCCGATTGACCAAATAATTTCTTTCAATTAATTAATCTTTATGTAAGATATTGGTTGAAATGAAAAGTCAGTGTCACGAGCGGGATTCGAACTTACGACCTTCGGCTAAATACGCCACGGCTCTACCACTTGAGCTATCGTGACTTCGATCCACTCGGACACCAAATTCCCATCTCAAGCAACAACCGTTTGAATTTTCTCTCACTTTTGCCATTTTTCAAATATCGTGTGATAAGGATTCCATTCTCGGCGACATATAAAGTGGCCACGGGGACTTATATTTCGTTTTAATTATTAAATCTATTATATTTAGTGGTCTATTGACCAGATTACGTCTTTCAATTAATTAATCTTTTTATGAAAGGTTTTGGTTGAAATGAAAAAGTTAGTGCCACGAGCCGAGTGGATCGAAGTCACCGTAGCTCACGTGGTAGAACAGCGGCGTATTTAGCCAAAGGTCGTGGGTTCGAATCGCGCTCGTGTCACTAACTTTTTCATTTCAATCAATACCTTACATAAAGATTAATTAATTGAAAGAACATTTTCATTTTAAAATTTTCGAAAACAACCGATTTTATATCTTTTCACGACAACAAACAAGCCCAGGATGATACAACATTTGATTAAAAGTGGGAAAAAGTGATTGTTTTGTTATTAGAACGTTAGGGTCCTGCGAATCTTCTGTGAAATTTATAATGATGTTTCTATTGGTACGTATTTAAGGGGTATAGAGATATTTAATGTATATATAGTTTTTTACGTCTGTGTTGTGTTTATATTAATATATTGGAATGAATGTAACTTAGCGGGAAGTGAAAGGATTGATAACCCGGCCTTGAGGAATATCTAGGAAGCTCTTGGGTGAGTGTGTGATTATTGGAGTGTAAAAATACGTAAAAGCGAGAATGGAGTGGGTTCAACCTCGTCCCCAGTAATATCCAATACTCTCGGGGATTGACTGTTACCAGACTTTTTTATTTGTAGTGATGTGTGCATATGTGTTGTATGTTTTATATCTATTCTGTAATTGACAACCTGAGGACAAACCGGAAGCTAGCATTTTTGGATATCGATTAATAAATAGTTTTCGCATAAATGCAGAAAGACAGTTATAGATCGAGATGCTCAAATGGCTTCTGGCTAAAAATATGCGTGAAGGAAAAACAAGTAAAAACACGCGTTAAATTGTTTCATCAGTATATACAAAAACACAAAAAACACAAAATTTGAGATGATAAGGTCAATGTCATGGATGGGATTCGAACTGTCATCTGTTCGTCTTCGGAACTGTATCACACGCTGTAACTACATGATTCAACCCTTCCAGACGGTTCCAATCCCATCTGTGACATTGATTGTATATCAAATTTCGTGTTTATTTTTACTGATACAATTAATAGCAATAATTAGTTCTGTACTATGTCTAAAATTGTTATCATATTCATGAACATTGTTCAAATCCGTCTAATGGAAGCGCGTTGTACATCTAGAAGTTATTATGGTGTGTGAATTAGATAATAAAAGGGAATTTAAAAAAAAACTTTCTTGGTATAGAAAGGTGTCGTCATCTTGGGTAAACAGTTGCCGTGGCACAGAGTTAATAGACAGTCCGAGTAAAGGTCGAAGACCGTGGGTGTAAATCCCATTCGTGCCATTGACTTTTTATCGGGAATTTCATGTTTAAATTAATTTAAGAAGCCATAAAATTACAAATTTAATTGAGTGATACACATATTGTTCACCATCCTCAAAATTCACACCGTGAGGCAAAAAAGTCGCCACATAATTAGTAAATCTTGTAATCGCTATAATTTTTATTTTTTAAATAAAAATAAAAGATATAGATAAATTTAAAAAAATACAAGAACAATGAAGAAAATGTTCAATTCAGTTCGAAATAGTTTCTTCTTTTGCGTTGATCACCACTTGCATTCGAAGTGGCAACGATTTTATGAAGTTTTGAATGTGTTGTGGAATATCTTACTCCCGCAAAAGCGCCATTCTTCATATCTGCCAATTCTATGACATCCCCGGACGACTTTTTGCCCTTTTTGACAACTCGTCTAAAAGGTGTTTTGGAGGTTTTAAGTCGTGATTACATATTGGCCTCTCGAAACGTTGAATGAAGCACGTTTTAAGTAGTCACCGACTGTGTGAGGCCTTGCATTGTCATGCATAAAAATAAAAGAGTGTCCAATTAATGGCATATAAGGAACAACCTCTCATGATACTTCTTCAAGTTTCGCGCAGCTGTTAGAGAACCCTCCATGAAGATCCAGACAAGATTCCGTAGAACTGCCTGCCCAAACCATTACACCACCACCTCCGCCATCTAAAGAACTTTAATAAAACATTGACTCATCCGAAAACAAGATTTTAATCCAATTTCTTTAGGCCAATTGATGTGATTTCTTGCAAAATTTACCCAAACTCTTCTGCGTTGTGTCAGAATATCTTGACCAGTGGTAAGCTTTCTCACACATAATTCAACTTCTGTACGTCTTCACTGTCATAAACTGAAATTTCTAACTTGTCGAACCGCAGCTTGATCATCTCAACAACAAATGTCGATTATGCTGTACATTCGAAACAATAAAACGAACATGTCGCTCGTTAGATAGAGATATGACTTCTTGAGGAACCTCCAGTATCTTGGTAGGGATGCAAGACCCTTCAGACAGTTGTTCTGGGACACTGGCCACATACGTTTGACTTCTTCCATCTTCCAACAAATTCTACGGTCCTAGCCTAATCTGTGTCACTTAAAATCATGGATCAAACATATTTGCAACCTAAAAGTGGTACAAATTTAAAAATCAAATCACCGGAAATTTAGAGAGAAGGTTTTCAGAAAAACTAACAAAAAAAGATAGACGTTTCGAAGATTTATTTAAAGAATGTATTTTATACAGAGGTGGGAGATTTTATCTCTGATTTATTTACCTGTAATTCTTTAAAACGAACCAAATATTATTGTAACATTATCGATGAATGATTGTCTAAGAGATAGTTAAAATTGTTAAGAGTGGTCACTTGTTTTGCCCCTCAGTGTATATCTTGTTGAACATTATTGATTTTTCTTAGTCTAATTGTGGTTGTGGGCTGCCGCATTAATTATTATTTGGGGTTTTATTATAAGTAATCAGCTCGTTTTATATTCATTTTTTTAGTTGAAAACGTATTTCGAACCACGCTGAGGCTACTGAGGTTGCTTATAAAAAACTAAGTTTCGAGTTCTAGTCTCACTTGTGTTAAGGAGTTCAAGGTCTAGCTAATCTGGACTACCAATTTTTCGACTTTATTCATTTTTCGTCCTTTTTGTACGTTGTGTAATAGTTCCATGCTTGTTCAGTGTTCGTGGTGGTTTTGTGGGAGGTGTGCTTTAGTTGTGAATACTTTATAAAAATGTTTCTGATCTAAAAGGTCACTATTCGTTATTTTCCAAACACCCGCTAAATATATTATACTTAAAAATAGTAATGATAACAATTTTACACATAACACTTTATAGATTATTAATAACAACATAATAAAATATATATAATGTACACTTTACATTTATCGCTTAAGACAGGAAAGAACTATGAGTTGCTTGAATGCATATTTAAGAAATAAAAGAAAAATTGTACGTTAACTAGTTACTTTCTTAAGAAATTCATTTCAAAATTACAACCAAAACTTCACATTGTATTAATTATGTTCTGTATCTTTTCCAGGACTGTTGTCTCGCCGCCAATCAAAAGGCATGCCGTTCCTATTCGAAGATTTTAACATGGGTAAGTGTAACATTCCACTCTAATTTGGTCCCGCTATCGCCTTAGTTGGTTTGCCAAGTTTCCTATGAAGTTCTACATAAACGGAGCGGCGAAACTTTGCCGAAAGAGTAACGCGTCTCAAGAAACAGTGGCTGACGAAGATTACGATCCCTTTTCTAAACTAATTATTAATCCTGAGACAGGAAGTTAATTAAAATTGGTTTAAGGCAGGATTTTAAAAGATTATACGGATACGGTGTAAAATTTGTCCTTAAATTTTATTTTGCATTGTATTTGAAACTCAATAAATGATAGATTAATATGTAATATTATTGGAATGTAGGGCAGTCTTGTTATTTTTGAACTTTCCAATTACACAGTTAAGTGCAATTTCATAATACCACAGGTAGATTGTATATATATATATATATATATATATTTAAAGGTAATATACAGAAATAAAAAATAAAGAAACAACATATCACATCGTCCGAACTAAAGAACTAAAACTTACGGCGCGATGGTTATACAGTTTTGCAATGCATGTGTTAATAATGAATTAGGAGTATAAATTAATTAAAAAAGTCTATATTCCCTATCGGTTGCAATGTAAAATTTGCGGCGTAATGGTTGTACAGCTTAACAGGGAAAGTAGTATAATTAATAAAACCATAAGATAATTAAAAGGACAATATACCTCATCACCCGCAGAACAGAAAGAAATGTAAGGCGTAATGTTTCAACACTTTTGCAACGCAGGTTAAGTTAAATAAATTATTAGAAGTATAAATAAATAACAAGCAACCAACTTTATCGTCTACACTACAGAACGAAAATGTAAGGCGTAATGTTTCAACACTTTTGCAACGCAGGTTAAATTAAATAAATTATTAGAAGTATAAATTAATAACAAGCAACCAACTTTATCGTTTACAGTACAGAACGAAAATGTACGGCGTAATAGTTATACAGTTATGCAAGATAAGTGAAAGTAATTAAGTATAACCAAAGACTTGATTTTCATGTAGAAAAGACCTACTAAACGTGCAACATAGGCCATGATTGGAGAACATGGACAAAAAAGTAAAAGTCTGGAATTGTCCACGCTCGACATGGGCATCTCTTAATTATTGTATAAACCGCCATGGAGATGTCCCATGTGCTTCGCCCAAGTAACTGTAAAGCACTAATTAGTGGAGCGCGTATTGGGTCTGCAAAGAGCAAGCTAAGGCCTGTCCATAAATCTTTGAAACTTTCTAAGATACAGCAAAAATTAGATTAGTCACCTAAATCAAGCAGATGGTCGCATTTCAACACATTGTTTCCCTCTTTAGAATAATGTATTTATTAACGTAAATGAATGGATGTTGGCATATTGAGTACCAAACAGATTCACGAAGGTTTGTTGATTCTACCGTCCTAAATTGTATTTATTAGCGTGATGTTTGAGTGAGTTAGTGTGTTGTCGTATGTGCAGCGGAATATAGTGTTTCCCACATATTCTCCAATTAGGCTAGTTTTTTTGGTAGAATTGTGATAGAAGGGAAAGGAAAGAAAGAAAGAAAGAAAGAAGAAAGAAAAATAACTTTATTCTGGGACTGGTGTCCCCTAAGGATAATTTACATGAAATAAATAAAGTAAGTTCCTTCTATGAAGTTAAAGTAAAAAAAGATGGAAATCTTGGCACAATGTATACCAGTAATGTAGGCTAGAAGAGAAAATTACGAGAATATTAAGCAAAAATAACAAATGTTAACGTGAGGTCTCTGCTTGAAGGGAGAGGAGGTGATTATACAGGTGGGATTTAAATGAGGAAAAGGAGGCAGCGTGACGAATAGAAAGGGGAAGGGAGTTCCAGAGTTTAGGGGCTCGGATCAGAAAGTATCTTTCCAAGGTATGGGTTCTATGTTGCGGAAGGATAAGGTCGATTGGGGATGACCGAGTCTTACGAGTGAGATATGAGGAGTTGAATTGGAGGGATTAGATGATGTAAGGAGTACGACGAGTGTGGATGGACTGGAAAAGAAAGCAACCTAGGAAATACTGTGGACGGAAGGAGGGGAATATCCAGGAAAGTTGGGAATACAACCCCGACACCCGGGATCCCCGTGGGGTGCCGTACACAAATCTTACGCGACAATTCACAACACGCTTCAATCGCGCGTTCTCCCCCTCCGAGAGACCACCGTATGCCAAACAACTATAATCGAAGAAGGGAAGTATAAGGGAAGGTACAAGGAGTTTGCGGGTGGAGAAAGGTAAGAGAAGCCAGGACCGACGAAACAGGCTGAGGGAGGCAATGGAATGGCTGGAAATTTGGGAAATGTGAGAATGCGAGGAAAGATTTTGGTCAAAGACTACTCCTAGGTTTTTAATCGAAGAGCAGAAGGGGATGGGACGGTTATTTAGCATGAGAGGTGGGATGCTGGGGAGGGAATTGAGGAGTTTCGTGGACCCGATAATTATGGCGGTGGATTTGGAAGGATTGAGGACTAGGGAATTTTTATGGGCCCATTCGTTGATGGAGTTTAGGTCTTTTTGGATCTTGAGAGTGGCCGAGGGAAGATCGGAAGGGTGGAAGGATATGTACATTTGGGAGTCATCGGCATACAGGTGATAGTTACAGGACTGGATGGAGTCGGGCAGGTCATTGATATAAATGGAAAAAAGGATAGAAGAGATGCTAGAACCTTGGGGCACCCCAGATTTTAGAGGAAGGAAGGAGGAGGTAAGGCCATTGGGAAGGGAGACAGCTTGGTGGCGATTGGTAAGGTAAGAGTGGAACCAACGGATGGTGCTGGCGGAGAAGGAAAAAGATTCGAGTTTAGAGAGGAGAGAAGAGTGAGAATCGAAGGCTTTGGAAAAATCAAGAAGGACAAGTATAGTAACTTTCCGTTGGTCCATTGCTAAGTGGAGGTCACTGGTAATTTTTATTAATGCTGATTGGGTGGAATAACCTTGGCGGAAGCCAGATTGGAGGGGGTTGAGAAGATGGGACTGTTCAAGGTGCATGGAGACTTGTGCTTGGACTAATCTTTCTAGAGGCTAGGACAGGTTGGAGAGGATGGAAGTGGGACGGTAGTCTGTAGAGGAGGATGGGTGGGGGGTTTTATTAACAGGGTGGACAAGGGCTTTTTGTCAGGCTGTCGGAAAAACAGAGTTTTGGAGTGAGTAGTTATAGATGTGAAGAAGAACAGGTAGTAATATTGGTCGACAGAGTTTAAGAATGGATAGGGATGCCATCAACTCCAATGGCATTGGAGTGGGATTTGGTTATGGCCTCAAGGACTTCGGCTGGGGTTAGATAGGAGAAATAGAAGTTAGACGAATTGAATGAGGGTCCAGAGGGAGCGGGTATGGGGACAGGCATTGATGAGATTAAACATGGGTGTTTAATTCTTCAAGAGGGGACCGCGGTAGCCGAGTGGTTAGCATGAGAGACTCTCACGCCGCGGTCGTGGGTTCGATTCCCACCGTCGCCTCTGGCCCTTTTTTCCCGATAACCCCCAATTTGAACAACATATATAAGAATTCGTCATGGCTAATATGCAAAGATCATAAGGCGCAAAAAAAAAAATTCTTCAGGAGAGACAGTATAGGAAGATGGTGAGTTGCGTGGGGGACATATGCCAATGTACGAAGGAGCTTCCATTTTGCTCGAGGATCAGGAGTAGTGGAGAGTGCCTCTTGGTAATGAAGGGCTTTGGCCCGACGGATATAGGATTGGGTTTTATTGCGAAGGGCTCGGAAGGAAGAGTGGTCTTCAGGAAGTTTGGTTCGACGAAAGCGCCTTCTTGCAGCTTCCCGTCTTTTAATTAGGGCTCTAATTTCGTCGTTTAACCAAGGAGAAGCAGGACGACGGATAGTGTGGGATTTTAGGGGGGCATGTTTGTTAAGGATATTGAGGAGATTGGAGGTCAGGAAGCCGACCATGGAGTCATTGGATGAGCCAAGGTAAACGTTGGCCCATTCGACCGACTCCAGATCTGGCCTCAAAACCTCGAATGAAAGGGTAATGAAAGGGGTAAGTGAACGGAACCTTATGGTTTTGGGTGCGGGACGTGGGTAGGAATATTACATGTGATTTGGATCAAGTCGTGGGAGGAGAGAAAGGAGATAGGGTGTTGGAAGGAGGATAGAATTTTATCGGCGGAATCCTCTACCATAAGATCGAGCCAGGTGGATACAGAATCAGTGTGGGATTAAATGGAATACATGAGAGATTAAGGGAGAACCATAGGTTTTCTAGGAGTCTTTTGTCGTAGGAGGCAGAGGAATAATTCGCGTTGAAGTCACCTGTGATGATCACGTTGGAATATAGAGTGGAGTAGTTGTACAGGGTGGAAAGGAAATTTTAATTGTTAAGTTTCATTCTTGTTAGTTTTTAATAATTAATTTTAATTGTAATTTAACACCAAATACATCGTTACGTATTTTCTCCCAGGTTAAAACTCCTGTCATCCAGAATGTATTTAGAAAAGAAATGTTTTCTTTGGATGATGTAGCAACCATTTTTGAACTTGAAAGCACAATTGTTATTTTTTTTATTGTTATTTAAGATTCATAAGTCAAATAAAGAATGAGAAATGAAGAGTGAGAAAACGCATGTGATGGATCGAATAGCAGTCGAATATAAAACTATTTCATGAAAAATTTTAGACATCGGAAATACAAAATTTCAGACAAAACGCATTATATTTAAAAAGATTTTCCCGTCAAGTCGTGAGTGTTAAACCATAAAAATCACTACAAGCGAATAGTCTTACAAGATTTCGTCAGTAAATAAAAAATAAAAATGATTAAGAATTAAATTACTTTATGATTTGAAGAACACAGGCTTTTGAATAAAACCTTTATAAGAAAAAAGTGAATTTAACATATAAAGTATACGCTTATAGTTTCTAACTTTACACATCTCTTTGTAAAATATTCACGTTTTGCTCAGGATAGAAAATGTTACAGTGCTGAAATAATCATTGCATTTTTTTAATCATTTAAGTATATTCTAGTAATAATATATT